GGATAAGCGGAGCCGCCACGTTGAGGGAAGTTTGCCCCGTGTTCCCCCCCCTCCGCCATCCCCAGCTCGCCCGCGGGTGTTGTGACTTCGCACAGGACCCCACAAATCCCAGCGCACGCCGCCGGCAGCCCTGCGGGGAGCTGCGATCCCGGCCATGCCCCCCTGGCCTGCCCTTATCCCGGTGACACTCGTGTCCTCCTATTAACCCTGTGGAGAGGGGACAAAAGCTAAACTGTGATCCTGCGCTGTTTCCCCCCCATCCCGCTGCCGGCTCCATGAGCTTCACATCCTCCTGCTAAGGCTGAAAGGAACAAGAACAAGAGCTGCTGATGGTTGTAAGGCCTCGCTCGGTTCTCCCCACCCCCTCCGCCAGCACCATCCCCCACTGCAGCTCCCATGGACTCGTATCCCTCCCATTAACGCTGGAAGGGGAGGACAGGAGCTCTGATGGGTTTTTCTCAGGCTTTACTCTGTTTTCTCCCCCCACACACCGACCAGCACCAGCTCCACAGCCCTGCAGAAGTGCAAAGCTGGCTCTGCTACCACATCCATGAATGCCCCTTCCCTCTGAGCTCCAAGGAAAAGGGAAAAAAAACCACCCTGATTCCCCACGTTTTGCTTATTCATTATAAGCGGTTGGCAGTGTGCTGTTAAAAACGTGCGATCTCTTGTTTCAGAAGCATCTGTGCTTTAAGAATAAGGTTTTGTCTTCTTGAATGTGGCTCTTCATAATAATCTCTTGAAGTGCTCCATTTTTGTCCTTAAAGTTCTATTTTATTACCTCTTCTGGATCAACGAAGGTCGGTTTAACCCTTTAGAGATGAAAATCAGCAGCCACTTTAGGAAAACGTTGCCCTTCTCTTTATTAATTCATGGTTACAATAATATTTTATGGAGGATTTTTTTTTCCCCAGCCTAGTCCTGCTGCATGCTGAAGGAAGTGTGTGCTTCAGCCCTGATTAAAGTCATGTATGAGTTAATGAGAAGCTTGCAGAGTATGTGAAGCAAGAGAAAATCTTTAACCAGCTCTGCTGTTCCTTCTACATACCATAAACTTGCACGCTGTAACCAGAAGGTGGATTGAATATGTGTGAAATGCTGCAGTAGGAGACTCTTAAATCGCATCACAGGTGGATGCTCACTCAATTAATATGTTATCATTTCAGAATACCTTGAAGTTAGGTGGGTTTCTTGAATTTTTTTTAAAGTATTTTGAGACTTCCCATTTCTACATACATAGAAATGGATGAAGGATGCTATAAGCTCACAAAGTATTGTTTTGTGGGTGGATTTTTAAATGTTGAGCAGTCTGTGTTCCTCTGTTCTCACTGCTTCCCGGGTTAATGGATTGATAATGCAGGAGGGGACTCTGAGGTGCTGGAGGAACCAGCAGTGGTGTCAACATTCCAGTTGTGGGACTTCTAATTTAAGAAATGTATTGTCATAAGGAATAAGATCAAGGCTGAATCCTGCTTGCATTTAGGTCCAAATACAAAATGCGCTTTGGAAGGAGTCCCCAGGGAGCACTGAGAGTAATTAAGTAAAAATAAAACCTTTCACTTCAGGCCCCCCTTCCCCTTTTAACATAGACAAGTCAGTGCAATGCTGGTTTCATTCCACCATTTTCATTATGTGTCCTGATATTTCTTAATTTTGTATTGCAGCTGAAATACTCGGGTGACTTATAATTTCAGTGATTTGGGGGTATTTCTAGACCATACTTTTAAAGAAGTCATCTCGCTGTGTCCCAGAAGGAGCCATTGAGCAGTCGTTCTCATAAACAGCACTGAACTTCTTACAGCCTTGCCTTTCCAAATACCTTTTTTTCCCCCTGTAATTTTCATCCTTAACTGTTGAATTCCCTTTTCTTTACATTAAGTAAATATTTATTAGTACCACTTGGATTTTTTTCATCTTTTTAGAAGAACAGAGCGTTGTCACTGAGACAATCCTTTCGTATTGAGGAGGTGACATAAAAAAGGAGTGAAGGAGAGTTGTCTTGTGCTGGGAAATGCCATTTTTGGAAAACAATACTATAGGAAATGGAAATGAAAAATACATTTTATGCTGGTGGGAACTTGTAATGAGGCTAAGAGAGGATTTGGTGTCTCAGAAAAGCAATGATTACAAGGGGAAAAGCGGGACTTTATCATCCATTTGTAGAAGTTCTCGGGCTGAATATCCTTTTGGGGAGCTGAAATTTGGCTCAAGTCTGTTTATGAACATCTGTTGAATGGAATTTTAAAAAGGCACAGTTTATAATCTTAGCTTCTGCTGGCTGTTTAAGATGATAAAATAAAGCAAAATCAATGTATCTGCAAGTACATTTTGGGGTTTGTTTTGTTAATGATGAGCTGCATGAGTGTTCAGTAGTCTCTACTGCCAGTTATTGGGCTCTATATGTGTTCCCATAGATTTCTCTATAACATATAAAATATTGCCTCTACCCCTTTCTGTAGCTGTCTAATTCCATTTGAACACTCCTAGAAAGCATTCAAGCTTTTGCAGGGTGTTTTGTTGTGCCAGGAGGCTCTTGCATTTTGGCAATGTGTGTGACATTTCTTGCAGCAGGAGCACAGCGCTGTGTTTGGAGGGCGATGCTGAGAGCTGTTGGGTATTCCCAGAACTGTGGCCGTTTGCTTCGATTCACATCCTGCCCACCTGTCCTCTGCCTGGGCTGTAAATGCAACCACTTTGTGTCCCCTGGCTCTGGATAGCACCACTTCAGCTTCTATTTCTGCAGCATTTGTGACCTCCTCTTATTCAGGGAGGACTTCACTGTAATTTTCCCTCCTATTATTTTGCCTCTTTTCACAGCCTGATGTTTTTTTGCTGTTGTTTTCTATTCCAAGCGAGGATGCTGTGAGTGCTTCAGCTCAAAATTTAGGTCATCTCCAATAGAGGAAGGGAGACCTAAAAAGTAAAAATAAGATTTCAATGTGCCTTTAAAAGTGACAACTCTTTGGGAAAAAAATGTACAAGCTCACCTGTATTTTGTGGCAGGACAGAAATAGAAGGGGCCTTTCCTGATTCCAGAATGAAAGCTAAGTGAGTCTCTCTTTGTGAGTGTGGTTTCTTTTCCATGTGCTTTCCTGGTCTTTCATTTTCACACCTGATTTGAGCTTTAATCACTCAAATTATTCATAGACTTGCCCTGGAAAAAGAAGAGAGTGACCTCTTCCCATCTGGAGTAGATGGGTTCATCACCAAGAATTGTAAATGAATGACTTAATATTGGGGTTTGCACTTAAAATTTTTAATTCTGTGGTTTCATTGCCTTTCAGGAATTCTGCACGTTGTCTTTTCTGAACTGGTATGTTGGAGTTGTACCACAGAGATTTATTTCTTGACATTTATCTCTTAGCATTGGGCTCCTGTCTACAAAGAGCTGATGATCCCCTGAGCTGCTCATCTGCCAAAGCACCTTGCCCAGGACCAGGCCTGTGAGTTATTTTTTTTGTCTGTAATTATATCCAGTGCCTTCCATGACAAGGAACCTCAAGACAATATATGAAATCAACAGCCACGAAAGCACTGCCCGCTGCAAGTTATGTGATTACAATTTAGCTGTCCCTCAGCCTGAGGGTGCCTGAGGGGACACACAGCCAACTGCTCCTCAGTTCCTGTGGGTGGCTGGAGTCAGCCACTGGAATTGATAGATATCTGTTGCTCTTTCTTTCCTGTTACTTTAGTGGCTTAATTTAAATTAATAAGGAACTTGTGAATCTGTTTTGTTTGGTTTCTGCTCTTCCTAGCAGCTCTCTGCAGTTTTATATGTATTAAAAGTGCTAAGCTTCCTCTGGCCTAGATGTACAATAAATACCTTAGTCAATGCAGTTAAGTCCAGTTTCCTCTATTCACTCAGAAGAGATTTGTTCCTTATCTGAATTGTTCCTCCATTCAGAAGGAGAGAAGCCTTGCGCAGCCAGAGCTCACCTCATAAATCACCCAGACAAATGGAGCTTGGGGCAGAAGAAGATACAAAATGGGAATAGTTGTGATTTAGGTTTGTGGAGTTCTGCTGTGGGAATGTGCTTACCAACTGTTTGAAATACAAATGTTTAGAATGGTCACCATTTTCCAGCTATTCTTTCAGCTGAATTTGCAGTTATCAGCTGGGCCCTGCTCCTCAAGGGTGCCTCCCTGCACCCTTAAACATCTTCTAATATTTGGTGGCTTCTCTTTAACAGTATTGGTCTTGTATTGATAATTTTTTTATCAGGTTAGAAAGAGCTGCTTGGTCTTCACCAGGCCCTGCTCTGATGCACAGATATGGCACATTCTACTCACTGATTTCTTTGGCTCTGTCATGGCAGAGGTGCTTCCAGCAAGCAATCAGTGCAGCCACAGCAGCTCAGAGACCTGGACTGTGGGCCCTGGAGCAAGCCATGATAACACACAGCTTACATCCCCTCCCAACCCCTGTCACCCTGTTTCTGCTGCTCACAACTCTTCTGATGACACCAAGCTTCTCTTTGCTTGGTCTCCTGCCTAACTTAAACAATTCATCTCATTTGTGTTCAATATAAGGTTATTTTCTACTGTTAGCTCCTTCATAATGTCTTCATTGCTTACAGTTCTGAAGAGTTGGTATCTTTTCTATTCCAAGAATATTTGATAAATACATTTGTTGGCACCTGTCCTTGTTTCCCTCCACTCCTCATACTCACTCTAAGGACCCTTCACAACAATCTCACCTCCCTCAGTAATAAGGGGTCCCTCTACCAGATTAGAGCTTCCTGTTGGTGTTGTGTCATTTCTGAGCAAGAAAAGGCTGATACCTTTGAGCTCAGTGGTTGCTTCATCTCCTCAGCTCTCCCAGGGGTCTTGCAGGCGCTTTCAGTTCTGCCTCACGTCTTTGATTTGGTGAGGTTCCCTGCTATTTACATTTCTTCACATATATCCTCTTCATACCATCTGCTACCTTATGTTTTGCTCATCTCTGAAATGTAGTGACCATATTTCATGCAATGTTGTTCTACATGATTTTCTTAAAATTTAATTAAAAGGTTCTGAAAGAACAAAGCAAATTAGAATTCACCCATGTTGTGCAGACACTTTAAGTGAATGGGAAGCATCTCAATAAAGACCTTCAAATGCCTTGAATGAATTTGTAACCAAAATTCTGTGCAGTGTTTATCCAAAGGGTCTATTATTGGATTAATTAGGAGTTTGATTACTGACAAAAGTTAGGGTTGTTATTAAAGAACAGCATCTTCTCTAGAAACTCTTTCTTTGGAATTCAGCAGTTCTCCTGAGTAGTATTTACTTTGGAGTGAGTGTGTGGCTGTGCCTTGTTAGATAAAAGCTGTAGCACTAAAACTGTTTTACTGAACTTAGCTCCTGACCTGCCTTCTGAGGCCACAGCTACAAAGGGATGATACATCAATCTAGTTTGTTTGATCTAATTACAGCTGTTTAACCATCCTGAGCATAAGTGCACTCACCCCACTTTGTTATGCTGATTTCAGGTATTTTCACTGTTAATCGGGTGCACAGTGCTTGGTTCTTTCTTCTATTAATTTACCTCTCAAGATATTCTGGGCAGTTATCCCACAGAGAGGTGTTCTGCTACTCAGCTGTATGTTATTTTTCACAATGTGTTGACAGGGAATTCTCAGGAATTTGGGGATTCTGTGGGTCAACCTGACAAATGACTACTCCTTTTCTCCTGACATCCATTGGTTTTTTCCCTGTGCAATTTCTTTTCTGAAAGGCTGCAAGGTTCATGAAGAAGAAAGCGATAAATCCATTAAAACATCCCTTAACATGCAGAAGCCCATTGCCACCTGTGGAAGAGCAGATTTCTGATTATTTCTAACTGAAAACTCTGGGGTTTATGTCAAGAATATTGTCATGGGATTTTCTTTTCATGTATATATATTATTTGTGTTTGGCTTAAGAAATTACCTGGAGTTTTTTGCATGTACGGTCTGTGGATCAAACAAGGGTTGTGGAGCTTTGAGGAATAAACATGGTCTATCTCCTCTTCTGTTTCCAGTGCCCACAAACTTTGGATTACTGACCTGTCCTCTAACAAAACGGACTACTGGCATTTTGTCCCCTCTCAATTCTACCATGAGCTCTCTCCTTTTTATTTTCTCTTCTTTTTTTTTTTTTTTTTCCCCCAATTGATTAAGCAAATCCAGCATTCCAGTTTATTCTGGAGGGTTAGATTTCCTCAGCCTCCCAGCATTCTTGTTGCTCTCTTTGTGCTCTTTCCAGTTGCTTTGCATCTGCTTTTATTTTCTAACATGAAACCTGAAAAAGGACAGAATATTCCAGCTGAGAATATTCCAGCCAAAATTAAAGGAAGGCATTTGAATAAACACCAACAGATACTGTTCTGGGGCTCTCATTTGGTCCAAAACGTTGATGATGGGAAGATACCATTCATGGCTGTGAGGTGTCCTCTGGTGAGAACACAGAGAAAAACAAAAAGGTAGCAAAAAAAAGAAGGAAAACACCCAACCAAAGATGGGTGCTTTTTGGCTCCATGTTTGTGTGTGTTATTGTTTACAGGAAGGGGAAGAAGTGGCAGATCCAAGGAAACTTGGAACAGAGGGATGGAAAGAATCTGCAGAGGGCAGGCACCTAGGACAGAAGATGCCAGAAGGGCAGCCCTGGTTTGTTGCTGTTTTGCTGAAGCAGGTACGGGAGAGGGGAAGAGATGTGAGAAGAAAGAAATGGGTGATACGTGTTCCTGCCGGTTCCTTATGATGGAAGCAGAAAGATTGCAGGAAAACCAGACCTATGGTGTGAGCCTTTATAGTCTTCTGAGAGGTGCAGTCCTCTGGGATCTTGGAAGCTTTTCCCTTGGAAATCTGTCTCTTTGAAGAGTTCCCTGCAGAGCAGAGGAGCCTCCCTGCCGAGGTGACAGTGTGTGCAGGCTTGGCCACACAAGGATCAGTGCTGAGTCCTCCAAGCACTGTCTGACACAGGGAATGTGCTGAGCTGGTGTGTGCTCCAGGCCCACATTAATTCACCCTCTGTTCCGTGGTTCTTCACGCTCCTGTGACCCGGATGAATTTACCAGGGAGCTGAGCAGGGTGTTCAGTTTTCCTGTCTGCAGTTCTTACACTTCTGCCCACCCTAATCCAGTTCTTTGCACCATGATGCAAACTCTAATTATAAATAAAATCATAGAACCTGCCTTCTCAAACTCTTGTCTCATTCAGAGTTTTCTTTTATCCTTGTTATTTGATGTTTGCTTCCATATTTTATTTATTGCATATAATTCAAGTGCTGCAGTAAATACAGAATTACTAATTGTAATGGATTTTTGGTACACTTATCACTACAGTGTCTGAATACTTTTTAACCACCATAAATGCACTTTCATAATACTACAGAGATTTTCTTCTCATTTCACTGATTAAAAAAAACTGTCAAAGTTCTCCACCGGGTCTGTGTTCCCCAGAGAAAAGGATTCTTTAAAATCTAGTTTTTCTAATAAGACATCCTATTTTAGCAATAATTTTAATTGTATCAGGCCTTTAGATATGTATTTGTTGCCAACATAACCTTTGAGTTCAAATACTGTCTTCAAGCCATAGTCTGTGTATACAAACTCACCCTCTCACCCCTCTCTTCGTTGAGGTTTGCTGAAAGGAAGCTCCACTCTTCTCTCCTGACAGATTCCTTGCTCTTGTAGCCAGCTCAGGGAGCTTTCTCGGTGATTATTCCAGTTTTCATGTGTCATTCTTGAACAGAAACTGTACCCAAAATTCTGTAAGAGAGCTGTTGCCATAACATCTGGATGTGCCTTACCTGCTCTTTAGATCCCATTTGTCATTTTCATTTCTGTGACTAAATAACACTTCTGAGTCTTCATCCTTCCCTGCTAACTGTGGTGAATTCCCAGTTTTGGCTCAGTCCCTGTGTGAACAGCCTTGTGATTTGCAATAATCTTATTACTGCATTCCACCAGCCCATTCCTCAGGATTCCTGTGCTGTTCCAGAACCTCATCCAGTTCTTCATTTGGGATATTCCAGTTTCCTGCACTGATGCCTTAGGGTGTTGTCAGGAACCACCTGTATTAACACTTTTTCAGTTCCTTGTGCTCGTGTCACTTAGAGCCCATCCGTAGCACCAGTTCTGAGACCAAAGCTGCAGGAGCTTTCAAAGCACTCTCTAGCCCAAAACTTCCCATTTCAGCACAATCCGGCACTGCATTTTTAGTCATTTTTTTACCCACAAAACTTCTCTTGCCCTGACTTTCATACTTTCCAATTTAATTGGTATTTTTACATGATGCACCAGAACAAACACTTTATTGATTTGGGGATGGGTAAGATCTACTGTGTCTTCCTTTACCCAGAAAAATTTGCTGCCCTATCAAAGAAAGACATCATGCTTTGTCTGGCATGATTGCAACCTTTGTTGTATTTTATCTCTACTTTCCTCTACATCTTTTCCCCCCTCATGAGGAAAAATAATTTAAGTTTTGCATCTCACTGAGGTCAGGCTAATTAGCCTATTATTGTCTGGACATTACTTTCACTATCTTTGGCTTTGAGTTTTTTCCTTTCTCCTCTTAATAGGATGGCAAATTTAGATTATTTTTGTACCTCTAGAAGTGGTGGAAATAAATTCACTCATTTTCATCACAACTCAGCTGTAGTGCTTCATGTTTTGGTTGAATTTTTTTTATTGGTGGGTGTTTTGGTTTGGCTATGAAACAGGTTAAAAAAAAAATAAAAATTTGGAAGTATTTGCAGAGTTCTTTAAAGCATAATGATAATGAGCAGTTTCTTGAGCAATGGATCCAGGGCTCCGTTATCCTGTGGGATGCTGATAAGTGCCAGGGGCTCGTTGCAGCCTGTGGCTCATCATTGCCCTGCAGAAGTTCTGCTCCTCATGCTGCCTCAGCAGTATTTACTGCTCTCAGCCTGTGTTTAAACAGAACACGAAGCGTGCTGGGCACTCTGCACACATGTATGAGGCAGTCCTGCACAAAATACTCGCTAAAAATAGAGCAGGTAGGTGAAACAATAGCAAGGCACTGATTGCAGAGGGTCGGGATGAGCTGCAGGGCCCTCGGTGTCTGCCTGAACCCAGGCACAGGAAAACCCGGGGTCATTAACTATGTTTCCTGAAGCTGGGAAAAGTAATATTTTTAAATACTTTGTTTCATAATGCTGTTAATTTCACTTTTTCTGACAGCTGTAAAGACTCTGACTCTTTCTGATCACGTTTCACTCAGGATCTAATTGCAAAGATTGGGATGCAAGCAACAACCATTGAATGTTTGGATTTGGAGTGGGTTTTTTGTTGTTTTGCCAGATATACTCAATACTTTTATAAATATTTGAAAATTATATATTTTTTATCATTCTTCAATGTATCTGGAGCTCAGTTTTACAGAGGGAGCTCTGCAATGGCTTTGTTTTAGTGAACATGTGTGTGATATCCCGGCCTCTAGCAGCAGTGCTGTTGCTGAGGTGTGATCACGGGCCTTTCTCAAGGCAGAGATAACTGATAGATAAAAATGACCTCATTTCACAGTCCCACAGCTGAACTCTGAAAGTCCCAGCAAAGCTGGGCAGAAGGTGTTTGGATTTTTGTTTCTGACAGAATGGCACTTGTGGTGCCTGTTTGAGCCCTTTGAGCTCGACGGGGAGGAGGCCTGGAGCAGAAAATCAGTCCCATCCCCACACAGGGACCTGAGTGTGTGGGAAGTCCCAACACTCCCGGGGGGCTGATTACAGAATTCAGATTGGAATTATGCTTTTATGTCAGACTGTTGAAAGGTAGATAAGGACAATTTCTGTTTGACCCTTTCTTGGCCAATGTTTGCAAGCTGCTCAACACCGTGTTTATGTGGAATATTGCGATTGTTTTGGGTTATTCATTTTTTCAGCAGTTATTTGTGCCTGCCTTTGTACAGCTGGAATGAAGGGACGTTACTAAGTGTTCTCCCCATAGTATGAATATTTAATAGTTTGTGTGTTCCTTCTCTGTGTCGTGCATGTGCCTATATATTACCAACAAAATCTCTTAAAGTCAGTTTTTGCAAGAGATTTTCAAAGCACATCATGGAACTGAGTCACAGTGCTGAGTAAACCACTGTTGTAGAATTTCACTTAAAATCTGAATTTGTCAAACGGTGGTATTTTGCAAATAAGCACAGATTCTGCTAACTTCCCCTTGAGATTTTATTCCAGTCCGATCCAATTTCCCAGTATGGACGAACTGGTGTCTTAGAAATAAAGGAGAAATGTTTAGCCTATTGAAAAGAGGATTTTCTTTGTTTCTCAGATGTGCAGATCCTCATGTTCTGGAGCTCAGAGCTGCTCTGAGTGTGCTGGGCGGATCCTGCAAAGTGCTGAGTGCATGGCTAACTTTAAGGGAGTAGATCCTTAAAATCACCGGGGCTGCTGATGTTTAAAATTACTCAGAGACTTAAGTACTCCGATGGCCCCCGGCCAGTGGCTTTCACATCTCCTAGGACTGAGCCCTGAGGAGACGCAGTGATCAGCTGCAGCTCAATTTCCTCCTCCCGTTTTAAATATAAGGTTTAAAGCCCAAATTCTGACAGCTGTTTAATTAAAGATACTCATTTTAACCGTGAGGAATGTGATATGCAGCGGCGCTACGCCTGCTTTCTTTCTTTCTGCCTCTCCTGGCATCCCAGCTCACTCCTCTCAGCGTTAGTGCAGGGCTTGCAGTTTTCAGTGCTGCTCCGTTCCTGCTTTATCCTCTTCCATCTTTTCCATCTGCTTTATTCTGTTTGGAAAATGGCAATGTAGAATGTGTTTGGTGTAACCTTAATCCTGACCAGCATCTGGGCTCCGTTTGGAAAAAAAAAAAAAAAGCATCAACTGCAAGGAAGGTTTCTGTATGTTTCCCCACTTTACTAAAACAAAGTTGGGGTGGGAACAGAACCCAAAATAACCGTCGCAAAATTATATGTATTTTATTTGACCTGTTAATTAATATGCGGGTTTTAATGTGTTTTCCTGCCTGCATGGACAAACCGTGGGGCTTGTGCTCTCACCTCTGTCCCGGTGGGGGTCGAGTCAGAGGTAAACCGGATTTGGACCATTTTGGGAAAGGAGAGAAAGGGGGGAGGGGGCCGGTAATTTAAATCTGTTTTTAGCAGCCTCGCTGCTAATTACTCCCAATATGTAAAAGTTAACGCCACCATAAAACACGGGATGCGCTGAAATTCCTGCCTGATGCTTCCTGACGTTTCCCTGTTAAACTTTCCCAGGCCCGCGGAGGTCCCGGTGCGGGGCGGCTCCCTGGGACCGCCGCTGCCCCGGGGCGCGCCCCGACCCCCGGCCCGGCCCGGGCAGGGCACGGCCGCCTCCAGCTCCGGGGGGCACCGGCACCGGG